TTTTTTTTTTTTTTTTTTTTTTTTTAAATATAAAGTCACTGTGCAGATGTTGACTACCTGGATTCAGAAGACTGTGACATTGAAATGAGATAACACTTTTGTAGTAGCTGGGAAACTAACAAATGGGGAGCTCTAATAGTGAAACATACACGCACTAAGAGTTGACTTAGTTAATTTCCTTCCCGTGGATGTATGTTTCAGCTCACTGAAGATGTAGTGAACCGAATGAAAGAATCTTCTCAAGGTAAAAGGGACAACCAGAGATCGTCTTGTTCAGCTCCATCTTCACCAGCTGCGGAAGGGAAACCCAAATCTCCTACAGGTACTCTCAGTCCCTCTCAGGTCTGCTGACTGTTTTGACATTCTTCTCAGTAGCCCTGCCACTGGACATTATATGGTATGCCTGTGGTTTTGAAGGCTATCTTCTTGTGAGAGGAGCTCTTTGATTAGCCTGTAACACTTTAATGTTTGTAGTTATTAGCATCATTGAATGCCTTGGATGTTACAGTCCTGTGACGTTCTCTTTCCTGAAAGGTAGATGTGTCACCTGGCAGTTGGAAAGCTCTGGTTCTAGCTCAGGTGCAGTGTGGTCTTAAGTATAACACAGCTTGTTTTTCTGGGTCCTTTTTTTCTCCATTTTTGGAATACCAAATACCCTTCTCAGATACTTTAATGAACTCTATCGCTTTGTGAATGTTTCTAGGCTTTCAGATGAACTTGCAATAAACAAGGCAGAGATTTTTTATTTTATCTTTCATTGCTGGCAAGCTGCCTTGTTGTCTCCTTTTCATGCACAGGGAGTGGATGGGTGGGGGAAATACTGCTTTTTGTTCTTTGGAAATAAGCTCATAGGGAAGGATAGACTGACTAAGCACAGCTTGCCAAGCAGATGATGAGAACTTGGTTTCTGAACTTGTCTTTCTTTACAGGTCAGAAAATTATTTGACTTCTCTTGGTTCTCAAGTACACGTTGTTGATATATGTTATCAGTGTGGATTTGTTTAAGGCATTCAGACTGACATGAAGTTAGGGAACCAGGTCTTTGCTTTTAGAGATTTGTTTGCTGTTAGCCTACATCTTTCCTGAAAGTGGATTCAGCCTTATGGATGGCCTGAACTCTGCCAAATAATTTCATCTCCGTTTGTGGGATCCCTTGTCATCACAAGGAAGGCAGGAGGTCAAGGGGAAGACTTAATGGAACTAGAGGAGGGAAATTGAAAGTAGGTCTAAAACCATGCTTATGCTTCAGTTTGAGGAGTTAACATCCTTACCTAGAAGCTTCTGTAGTATTCCTTGTTCATTGTGTCTTGTTGAAGACAATGCTGCCTGTGTCTTTTTGTTTCATGAATTCAAGCTCCATCCATCAAATTTTCTTCAGACTTTTCAAGATATGTTGGTTTTTTTTTCTTCTTGATGGGGTAATGCTCAGATATGAAATTCTCCTCAAATACTTTGTGATGTGATGGAAGACTATGTTTTTACTATAGTTGTCACAGGTTTCCGTTCTTCTTTCTAGGAATCCAACCACCAATGGCAGGTGACTCAGGTCAGAAGTCTTCCGCTGCAGAGCAGGAGCTGTACAGGAGGTGAGGTGAAGTTCTTGAAAAAGACAATAGTTTAACTCCTTTTTGAACATATATATACACACACATACGTACGTGTTTAACTTCAATCCAAGCACAGTACCTGTATGTTTTAATGCTTGAGAATGCCCTTTGAAGCCTTTTTCAGTTTAGGGCCTTGGAACACGTTTTTTTAGGGAAGCCTGTCCCTTAGCCAAAGGGAGCAGTCAGGGGAGCTGTGGGCAACTGGAACAGTGAAACAGTGGAGAAGCAGAGAGGACCAATGTAATGACTGGGTAACTACAGAAAACTTTTGTGTGGTGTTCATTGCAAGACCAATAGAGCATAAACTTGAGTACAGTTACCTTTTCTGGTACAAATGAAGGAGTCTAAGTGTTTAATACTTTCCTTAGGGATTTTTGAATCTCAAACATGGTGATGGGTTTAATTCAGTTTATGCCTAAATTAATCAGATCCATCTTACGTATCTGTTTCCATTCCTTCTTCTTTTCCTAGACTGGATGTAATGCCTGTCAGCCAGTGCTAGAGTGCTATGAATTTCTCATATCAGGGTATTTTAATGTATTAAGATAGAAGTAACTGTGAAGATGGGGGTAAGGAAAAAAAAAATGCAAAAGAAAGTTTTTCTCTCTGACAGAACCACAGCAGTCTCTTCCTAGTTCTAGGCATTGCAGGGCAGTGAGAACTTCAGCTCTGTGTAACTTGATAGCTTTCTGTCATGAAACTGCTGGCCTGATCTGTCTGTATGTTCTTAATGCTGTAAAGATTGGTCTTTTCCTGTTAACAATGAAAAGCAATCTCTATTTGTGGTGGTTTTTTTAGTATTAAAACTGACTGGCAAAACCTGTTGAAAGAAAACCCTGTTGCATCAATCACGCTGTCCTTAGAAAAGTCAGAGATAGAACTAAGGAAGTATCTGAAAAACTGGTTCACTTTCTTGGGGACTGTGGAATCGAAGTTGCTGGCAGTTTTCAGTGCTGAGCTATGTACTGCATCCCAAATACCTGATCTGGGGATGGAGAGGTAGGGTCAGAAATGCAGTGGAAAGGAGGACACAAACTGCAGTGAGGAAGTTCTGACTGGGTATGAGAAGTAGAGAGGGAAATGCCTGTCAGTCACCGAGAGCATTGGAGCATGTTGCACAGAAAGGATATAGAATCTCCACCCTTGGAGATCATCAACGGTTGACTGGAGGAAGCCTTGAGTGACCTCATCTAACCTTGAAGTTAGTTCTGCTTTGAGCAGAAGGCTGGAATAGATAACCTTCAAAGGTCTCATCTAACCTAATTTATTTTGTGATTCATTTCATGTTATGCTCTCTCTGCTTGCATGTGGACAAAATTTCCTTCATGGCAGTCTGAGATTCAGGTGTCCAGGCTATGGACTTGATGAAGCTGTTTCTTTCCATGCTGGTGCTGCGTGCATTTTATGTGATTTTTTTTTTTTTTTTCTTTCCCTTCTAGAGTAGAAGGGCAGCATTGTCAGGCTGACTCCTTTTATTGTTGTACATCCCTTGATCTTTTCCAAAGCAGTACCTATTTATCTGACTAACTACTTTCTATTCTCACTGTTCACAGGTCATAATTATTAAGTACTTAACAGAGCTAAATATAGCTGAAGTATAAAGTTTAAACGGTGCGAAGTCTACTGTTGTTGCCAGAGCTGTACCTCACTGAAGCTGCAAGTCATGTTTAAAGTTTGTTGGACTTTTGAATTCCTGCTGATAATGGAGGGGCTGTGAGGAGACTTTGTGTCAAATAGATTATGAATTTGTGTTTTGGCTCTGGGCAGGAATAGTCCATGCTAAGCCATGACCCTGTTCCACAAGCCTGCTGATCACCTTCTCTCTGTGTGCCTTTGGTGCTCATACAGGTATGAGCAGGAACAGGCACTGGTTCAAGAGGAGTTGCTCCGTCTGGCCAAAAGAGAAAGGGAAGCAGCCAGTGAGGCCTTGAATACTGCCCTTCAGCGGGAAAGGAGCACCACTAATGAAGAGAGGCAAAGAGCAGCACAGTTGGTGAGTAGCAAAAGACTCCAGTATGTTTCCACACAGGACAGGGTAAAAATCTCTCTGCTTTAGGGAATTCATTAAATGTCACTTGTGTGGTGAGCTTAGAAACTTTAATTTAGGCTGAAGCACTCATCAGCTCCCCCAATTCATCACTTCTGTTGGGCTTACACTGGAGCTGTTGAGCTACACCTGCAGCACGTCATGCAGTGACACTAAGGCCAAGCTTGCAGGGAAAGGCATAAGCAGTGACTGTGCTGGGGACAGCTTTCCCTGTGACAGGTCAGTGGTGTGTGTATGTGGGGTCATTGTCTGAGCTAGAGAGAGCTCTTTTAAACTATCAATTGTATGAAATGAATGTTTCGGTACATACAGGGTCAGATTCTGCTGACCTGATCTATCCTGAAACTTAGCTCTGTTTTTCTAGAATAGAATTGTGCAAATACTCAAATAAAAAGTAATAATGAATTCTGTTGTTTGAGTCTCTTATGATGCTGGTAACAGAAGAACTGTTATAAAACTGTCAAATACTGTAACCTATTGAAGAAGGCTTAAGATTAATTTTTAGGTACCAGGAAGCATAAACCCCTTTTGTACACACCACCAACTCCCAAACCAATCTGGTTTTGCCCAGTAGGCAGACTTACTTTTTGGGACTTTTTGTGACCTTTACTGTTAGTCAGACACCTTGGTGTTGCTGGGATAACCCATTGGGTTATTGTCCTGCCAGTGCTGAGAAGAACAGTGATGGGGGCAGCAGTACAGTGAGATGAGACTGAGTTGAGCAAAAGGCTTTTATCCCTCCAGTAGATCGGGGTGGTCATTGATGCTTAATATTCACATGATACTATTTTATATTATTTTCTTTTAAATACTAATGTTGCTACGGCTATGGTGTACTGCCTTTAAACAATGCAGAGTCTTACTGGAACCCCCATTTTTTTCCTGACCTGCAGTGGTATGAAGTGTCAGGGTGTGACAGAGAGGTGGGACTATGCTTGCCACAGTGCGCTCGAATTGCTTGTTCATTTAGACTGTGTTGTTGAAAGTGTTTATTGAGAGAACTAGTCTAAGAGCAATTTTCCATGCCTGGTACATAGGATGGTTTAGGGAGAGGGCAAACTTGAGTAATTATGGTCTTTATTGTGTTTCTTTCATCCTACAGAACTGTTGCATGCACTTGTTTTAACTGAGAACTTTTCCATGAGCACGTTTTTTCTGTATGTTGAATGCTAATAGGCATGGCTGCCCCAGGCATGTGACTTGGCTGTGAAGCATTTTGAGGTTTTAAAATCTATGTAAGGACAGTTATGGTCGTTCAAATAGAAGGTCCTTTTAGCTATAGTCCATCTCTGACAGTGATCCATAGCAGCTGCTTACGGAGACTGTGAGAACAGGGCAGGTGTACAGCAGCATTTCTCACCTGTGTACCCTCAATTCTGCCATTCTGGGGCTTAGAGGCTTCTTTAACAAGAGGTATTTTCACCTTGGTATTGAACAGTTTCCTTAAGGAAATTGTCTTCCATGAATTTGTCTATTTGTAGTTTTGGACCCATTTGTGCTTTTTGACTCCATGATAACATTTGCATATGTTTGGGTGAGTAGGTCTCTGAGATTGCTGTCCTGGGTGTAGCTTGTGAACGGCTGCATTGTCGTAAGAAGTTCCTCTTGGTGGATTGTACCCAAGTCACAGGAAGCTGAGCCTCAGGATAGTGCTGTCTGAGGCAGGTGACTGCTGCTCCTCTGCATAGGACATGTACATAGGACATCTGGGTCAGCAGGTGCAGTATTAATTCTCTTTCCACTAGAAACAGAATATTCTTTTTATGAATGCAATTAATGGACTTCTGTACAGGGGCGTGGGGGAAGAAGCTAGTGGATTTATTGTCCAATCTAATGGTGTGACCCAGCTCAGAAGTAGAGCCCAGCCCTCCTGCAGTGAGGTGTGGAGTAATCATGGAGAAATGTGACCAGCAGAGTCAGGCAATATTTGTGAAGTGTAAAGGGGACACCTCTAAAATGAGTTAAGACCTCACCTCTAACATGCAAAAGCTGTTTTATTATCTGAATTAGCTTTTAATCGTGCAGTGTTACATACCCAGATATTGCATACTTGATGCTCTGCAAAAATCTGATCAGGCTCTCCTTGTGTAGCCCATAAAAGATAAATAGTGACCGTGGAGTGTTAGCCTGGAGTGTGGTGCAAGAATGAGAAACTGTTAAATTTCATTGGTCTTTAACTATCTCTTGATCAGTCATAAATTTAATATCCTTATAAATGGAATAGTCTAGCCTGTCCTTGCAGAGATGAGGTCAAAACTGTTGTCTGTTGGCTTCTAGGTGTCTTCCTAAGCAGCAGCTGTTTGTGCCAGCCTTCTAAATTATTGGGATCCCTGTCGGACTTGCTTTATCTTGGCTACAGTTTCCTTTTAGTCATGGTTACCTTATTGTGTTGTCTTAATCCTACTCAAATAATATCTGTCCTTTGTCTTCCAGAATTGTTTTCTTTATTTAGAAGAGGACTTGAATGTTTCTTGCTCAGTTTTCTGCTTTCTAGGCCTTGTGTATGAGGCAAATAATGGGTGTGAGTTGTCCTTTCATCTCTTCTGTGTCAGTCTTCTCTTTCAGGTAAAAGTCAGTAGTGGAAATCTAGATGCCCAGTGGTAGTCTAGGTGCAGGTGGCACTGAAAATTATCTGCTTAAATTTATAAGGGTACAACTTCCAGGCTTTTTGTTGTTGTTGTGACCTACTAGGGAAGCCAGAGAAAAATGGGGCATCTCCATAAAGGAAATAACAGATGAATAATTTTCTTGTAGCAGCACTTAATTTAGTAAAAATTGAAAATCGTGCCACATGTAATTAGAAAGTTTTGTTTGTTTTATTTATTTTTTAATATTTGCAGTAAAATCGTGAGCTGCCCTGTGCCTTTAACATATCAGTAGTTTGGTGACTAGTAGCTTTCCCTTGTACAGTAGTGCTGCAATATTCTCCTTTAACCTTACCACTTGTAGACCATAAATCCAAATGATAGCTGTATTTTGAAATGATTTCATTTTGATTGTGCTGAACGTCGCTTGTCATTTAATCTGTTCTTTATGGTTTTCATTAACTGACTTTTATTATTGGCAGTATTGCTATGAAGCACTTCTTCAGTCTTATTATATAGTGCATATTCCTGGAGAGAGCGTGGACTACAGCTAACCATTGATAAAGAACTTGCTGTCAGCTTCTGGGGCCAGTTACTTCATCATTTATGGGGTACGGTGCAGATTAATTTATTGTTGAGTTTTTGTCATTTGTTTGATGCTTTGTTTTTGTTTTTGTTTTTTTTTAATTTTGTTTTTTTCTTGACGTGTTATGCTGGTTACAAGAGGGATTTAGAGTTAAGTACCAGGGTCCTGTTCTACGTTTTTGTTATGGATCTTTCTCTTTTTTTTTTTTTTTTTTTTTTTTAAGACTTTGAACAAGCTATTTAGCTTCTAGATACCTTAGGTTTTGAGTAAAACTCCTTAAAGTTTTAGTTTAAGAAGCAAAATAGCTTGGTAAGGAGAAACACTGAAGCATTTGATTCCCTCTTTGAATATGGCTTTTGATTAACCAGGTGGGACTGGCTCAAATGGAAGTAGTCTGCTAAGCTGCTGCGGAAGAACTCTCACCAATTTCTATTAGAGAAAAAATGTTTTGTTTGTTTGTACAGCACTGCAGGATCATGGTGTTGACTGGACTCTGAATAATTTAATGCTGTGAGTACTTGAAAGACAACAAGGATTATATGTACAGTACCTCGCAGCAGGGCCTAGGGTGTTTAACTAATGCTTGTAGCATGCCTTAAGTCTCATGTGAAATATCCAAGAATTAATACAGCTATCTTTAAATCCTTTTTTATTTCTAGCATAAGGAACTTCCAAAATTGTCATAGTCGAGCTATTTAATTGCTTCACTGTGTTGTGAATAGTCTCACCTTTCCCCTGTACCAGGAGTCTTTCCTTTTTCATTTCCAATTAATCAAAACCTCTTCTCTGAACTTCTCAGTTCTTTTGGCTTTCTTTTTTCCTCTTTCTTACCAACAAAAGAAACTTTGCAAGCAAAGCTGCTCTTTTTTTCTCCTTTCTGCTTTTGTAATCTCCTAAGGCTGTGCAGCATATGCATCGTGAGCCTCTTGGAGCCAGTGACTCCCTGCCTGATGGTTTTTGCTGAAACCTTTGAGACAAATCAATGCGGAATGGGAATGGAAAAAAGCAGAAGCTGGAGAGGGGGGGGAAATAAACGCGATTAAGCGAAGACATCTCATTACTACTCTAGAAAGGGAGGATTATAACTTATAAAATAGGAGGATCTCATTTAGGGGCCATGTGCGCCTATGTTATCAGGACAGAGGGAGAGCAAATAGAATAAATGAAATTAATACTTTGAAAAGAAGCATTACCCGGATTTGAGAATTGAACTAATATGATTTGTGCAAAGCCCTGAAGTTCTTATCTCCCCATTTAATACCCCTTGGATAATGGCTTTGTCAGAGTTATTGACCAAAAGTCGTCGTCTTCTATCCCACTTTGAAAGAATGAATTCAGAAATGGGGTGATGGTAGGACAAACTTTGCACCACGATTAGCTTTTTCAGACAAGACTGATGGGCATTGGTTGCTGCGTGAAAACAGACCGGACACAGAATTCCTAAATTGCTGGGAAAGTGTTTCTCCAGCTGTCAATGACGAATGGCTCGCTACTCCCAGGGTTCCTGCTCACTGGCAGGCATGGCACTGTTGTGACTAGCGTGGCCTGGCATATAAGCATGTAAGGAAATGCTCACCGAGGGTTTAGGGTTTGTCTCTGGTTGCTCCAGTAGCTGATTGTAATTGGTCATAGGCTGTTGGATTCTTTCAGATGATTTCTTGCCCAGAAATAGTTTCTTTGCTCTTCAGAGCCTCTCTTCTCTTGTTGATTCAGGAGAGGAGGGCTGAAGGAAGAATGCTGAGTTGGGGTCTGCCTTTGATCAGAGCAGTGGGTTT